AGTATCGATGAAGACTAGGAGACTTGTTGGAGCTTATGGATTTGAAAGTAGAAAGAATTTCTTCTTCATCAGGAACATGGGTGAGAGATAGGTTATTAACATAATTAAAGTCATCCTCAAAAGCCTGAGTGTCAACGGTAGTGGTAATAGGATTTTTCTAAAGCAGCTCTATAAAATGAAGCATAGCACTCTCACCAATCTCATACAGATTTGTTAAAGTTTGGCCTTTAGTATATTTAATTTTCAGGATGCAGTTTATATTCTGCCTATGTTTTAAGGAGGCATGGAAAAAATTTGTATTTCTATCCCCTATGCTTTTTGTTGCAGAAGACCTTCTTCCAAATTTATGGCTTCCAGTAATGTCAAGTGTGCTTGAGCAGTAAGATTCACCATCTCAGGTGAACAAATTACCTGAGATTCCAAAAGATCAACAGCTTCTTCAGCATCCAGAACTTTAGTATGCACATTACCAAAGATCTGGTGGTTCCATTTCCAAAGATGCGCAGCTAATTTTTTTATGAAGTTTCCAGAGGATATACCAGGATGAGCCAACTCCATCATAAATCCAAACATATTTTACAGTGCTAAGGAAAGCTTCATGAGAAGCCCAAATGTTAAGAAATTTAAACTTGGAGAAACTAGGTTTATCAATAAAAGTAAGAGTAAGGAGAATAGGATTATGATCAGAAGAGGCATAGCTCAGGTGTTGGACTTTAGAGATGGTGAAATAATTAAAAAAAGATGAGTTTCCAAGTAACTGATCAAGACGTTGTTGGAGAAAACCTCTCCTTCAAGTATATGGAGAGCCAGAGTAGCCCAAATCAAATAATCGAACTTTAATCATAAAATTAGAAAACCGATTAGGAAGAATTAGGTCACATCTTCCCCCACCTTTTTTCTCAGAAGGCTTTATGATCATATTGAAATCCCCTCCAACAAAATAATTTTCAGAGGTGGAAGCACCTAAAATCTCGAGTTTTTGCCAAAGTATGAATTTTTCCTAGCATAAACAAATGTTCCCCAACCATGAAACTGATCCAACCAAAAATGGGTGAGAACAAACTCCTCATCATCATCCATAATAGTTAACATGACATTTAGTTTCCATAAAACCGAAATCTTATTGTTCTTATTGCAATAAGATTGAAAGCTTTTGAAACACTGTAGAATTCTACCCTTGTTAACATGCACAAGAAGCTCCACAATGGGAAAAATAGAAATATTTTGGACGCTACAAAGATATTTGAGCCTATTAAGGGAGGAAGGGTTTGGCACTCAGCAATATTCCAAATCATAATGTAAACATTATGTCTTAAGCCTGCCCTTCTACAAGATCTAGAAGGGTTGCCTAATTGTACCCCATCTAAGTTGTAGGTATCTTCCTGTATAATATTGCTAACATTTAGACTTGAGAGTTCATTCTTCCTTTTGGCCCTTTTTATTGCATGTTTTTTGTATTTGTCATTCCCCCTCAAAGGAAGTTTGGGCACATTGAAGAGGGTCTTTTGATACATCTTTTGGTAACGGAGAAGGAAAACCATTGTCATGAAATTGTCTTTGATTCTCAATTATATTATTCCTATGAATATTGGCATTAATAGATGTAAGAAAAGCATTACTATTAGCAACTAATTAAAGTGGGGTATTATCAAAAAATGCTTCAACATTTAGATCAATAGAAGGATCAGCATTATCATTGATCTCCTGAGATAGTGCTTGAGCTAGAGATGGCAAATGACTGAGGCCCTCTCCATTGATAGAGTGGTGTTGCTCTTATGTATTTTAATTATTGGATGGAGCCTTAGCACAATGCTCAAAATTACTAACAATTTCAATATTAGGGTCATTTATGTGCGTAATCCTTGCAGTATCTTGTTCCTGAACTGGATCATTGACAACATAGGGATTAGGAGGCATTGTATTACTGTTACCAAAGGGAGAATTTAAACCTTGAGAGTTTTAAGTTAAGGATTGAAATGGAAACAATTAGATATGTGGTGACCGAACATAGAGCAATGTGTGTAATAGAGGGAATGTCATTCAATTTCAACCGGTTGCCAGTAGCCTTGGTGTTGAGATCTAATACAAATCTCATCACAAAAGGGCAGAGTTATATCTCTTTCCACTAGAACTCAAGCCTTAGAGGGTCTTGTAAGATAAACTGTACCACTATCCATTTTTAATGGTTTCACATATGCAGTTGTAAGAGAAAATAAAACTTCATGATTAAACAGATGCAGCTTTAACCCCAGTAAATGGATCCAAACCGGCAAAATTGAAAGTTCTAACTTCAGATCCAAATCAAAAGACCACTTCCAGAATTTCATAAATCTATTTTCAATTCTCATAAAATGTTTCGCAAAAAGCAAGGTATAATCATCCTCATTAGCAAGTTGGATTAGAATATGTTTACCATCCAAAACCCCTATTCTCCACCATCCCTTCAATTTAAGAAAACCAATCTCTTTTCAAATATGTTCAAGTTTAGGATGGCCATAAGAAAACTTCCCAACCAAAGCATAATGACAAAAGGAAGCCAACACATTTGTTTCAACATCAGAGATAAACATAGCCAATTTCCATTCATGTTCCATAGCTTTTCACAAAGGAATAATCACCACCAACGTTAAGAGAGTCATGAAAAGCTTGAGGAAACAAAAAGAAATCGGTAGAACTAGAGGTCACCTCACCTCCCTCTAAAACTGCAAGATTGGGAGGTCGATTTTTGTTATATATATATATATATATATATATATATATATTTTTGTTTTTCAAAAAAAAAATTCATTAAGGTGGGGAAATAGTAGTACATCTATTACAAGGTAGAGAACAAAGGTCTCCTCTTATAAAAAATGTAAGATCTAAAGGAGGAATTACATCAATACTCGGACCATAAATGGAAGCACCCTTAGTGGCAAGCCAATTAGCACATTTGTTGCCTTCTCTGAGGCTGTGGCTCCAAAGAATTTGTAGGTTGTAATTGGATATCATGTTTTTGATCTACTTGAGAAGGGAGACAAGGAACCAGCGGAGAGGAAGTTGCTTCTCGAAAGCTTGAACAAGCTAAAGAGAATCAAGTTCTAAATGTAGATGTGTCCATGGCTGCATCAATTTTGATAGAACAAGAAAAAGCTTGGCTTTCAGTATGTAAAGCATTTATGGCCCAAATAGGAGAATGAAAATACAAAAGGCACATCCCAATGTGGTTTCTAAGAGTACTCCCCATGCCAACAATATTCATCTTCAAACTGCCATCAGTGTTAATCTTGATTCAAGGTTGCAAATGTTTCCTCCAGTGGATTAATTTGATTCTAAGAGAAGGTGTGAGACGGTTGTCAGAGTCCTTGTTGCTTGACTAATCAGAAATTTCCAACTTGTAGGCCATGAAGTTAATAATTTTGTAAATATAAGAAAGACAAATGATGCTGAGTTGAGAAGCATTAGTAGAATATCCATCATATTTGTTGTCATTTCTTACCATCCAAAGGAACCAAGTAATTATGAGAGGAAGAAGTTTAGCTTGGCTATCCTTCCATTGTTTCCAGCAATCTTTGAAGTTATCTAAATAAACAAGATAGCGTGGGAGATTCAACCTGGTAGCAATATGTGTCCAGACTTCCTTGGTTGTATAGCAGGAAAAAAAGTGATGTGAGAAGGATTCCTCCTACTGACCATTTTAATTTGAGGATTTCATCAGTAGGAATGGTTTTGTGAAAGCATCTCCAAGCAAATAAAGCCATAGAAGAGCTAAGGAATTCCACCCACATAAATTTTCCCAAATCCAGAGATGGCTAATGATATGAATTGTAATAAGCATATTTAGTAAGAGAGATGTGGTGGGGCTTCTTTGTAACAATTCTGTCAGGTATATGGTGGGTGACTGGGAGTTCTGTGATTTGAAGCAGTTTTTCAGGATCCACCTCTGTAGCCAGCATGTCCTTATTCCATTGTGGGTTTAGCCAGCACTTCCGAATAGGAAGATTATGGGTAGAGTTAGGAGATGTGGAGGAGGTATCGAGCTTTTCATCGAGTAAACAATTTTCTAGCCAGAAATCCACTTTCCCTTCCCCAACATCCCAAATGAATAAGTTTTCAGCATCAACTCTAACTTTAAGAAGTTCAGTCCAGATTTTGGAATCCTAAGGTTTCTTGAGAGTGGTCACTAGATGGGAATGTTTACTGTACTTCAGCTACACAAAATTAGCCCATATGGAAGTTTGATCTGTAAACTTGATCCAAAGTTTGCAATAGAAGATATGGTACAATTGCTAGAAGGATTTGATGCCTAAACCTCCAGCAGAGAGAGGGGGGTATAGCTTATCCCATCTTTGCTAAAGGATTTATTTATAATGTCTCACCCACAAGAATTTTTTGAGTATAATCTCCAATGTTTTCTGGGTACTCCTTTTCATTTTAAGCTTCTGTGATAAACACATAGGGAAGGAATATAAAATTCTTTTAGCCAAAGTGATTCTAGCACCCTATGAAAGGTAAGCATTAGTCCAGCAAGAAATTTGTTTGGAGACATTGAAAACCACCTCATCAAATTGTGTCTGCCTCCTCCTATGTTTAACTAACTAGACATCAAGATAAAGAAGAGGACAGGTAGTAGATTTGAATCCTCTATAACCTTTGATCCAAATAGTAGAGGTAGAAGTAATCTTCTTGCTGAAAATTAATTGGCTTTTGTTATGATTTACTGAAAGACCAAACAGTTGTTGGAATTGTTCCAAAAGTTTCTACACCTTCTTTACTATAAGTTTAGAAGCAATAGAAAATAGAATTACATCTTCAGCATAGCATAAATGGCTAATAGAGAAATTAGCTTTAATAGCAAATCGTAGGTGCTCCTGTGCAGAAAAATGATGGTTGAGCAACCTGAAGAAGTAATCCATAGCCAAGATAAAGATGCATGGGGAAGGGGGTATCCCTATTTGATTCCTTTGGATGCTTGAATATCCATTTACCAAGATAGTATAGTGGTTATTCTGAAGCCAACTTTAAATCATCTGGCAAAAATGATTATTAAAGGTTCTAGCTTGGAGGATTTGTAGAATGAAGTTCCAGTTAATGGTGTCATAAGCCTTGAATAGGTCAAGCTTGTACATAAGTTTGCCAGCTCTAAAAGGCCTGTCAATATCCAATATAAGCTTTTGAGTTAGTAAAACATTATCAGTTATCTGCCTACCTGTAACAAAGGCAGATTGGTAAGGAGCAATAAGCATATGTAGGTGGGGCTGTAATCTAAAAACCAGAAATTTGCTGATAAGCTTTGACATTAGAGTTATGAGAGATATAGGTCTGAAATAGTCCTAGCAAGATTTTTTATTGTCCTTTGGAATTAAGGTAATGGTAGAAATGACAATGTATTTTGTCATATCAACTCCATTAAAAAAATCTTGGACAACATCAATAACTTCCCTCTTAACTATAGACCAAGCTTTTTTGTAAAAGGTAGAAGTGTAGTCATCTGCTCCAGCTGCCTTATCACCATCTATGGAACAAATTACCTGCCATATCTCCTCTCTAGAAGGGATAAAAGTGAGATCTAGAATGCTAGTTTCAGTAAACCTATCATTTAGTTGGGCGGGATTGAAATGTTGAAGATTAGAAGCATGAGGTTGAGACAAAAGATTCATAAAATGATTAATGACATTTATAGGGATTTGATCAGGATCTTGTATCCAGCAACCATTGTTGTCTTTAATCCTTAGAATTGCATTAGAGTCTCCTTTGTTTTATGTAGGCATGGTAGAAATTATTATTTCTGTCACCATCCAAAATTTTTGTTAAGGCAGCCTTCTGTTTGTAGAATAATTCTTCCCACTGAATGGCTCTAAACAATTTGCATTGGTAGCTACAAGATGTTGGTCATCAGAAATACCCAGTTTAATCCTTAATTCAGCCTTCTTAACAGCCTGTTCTACCTCCTCCACTTTAGCTGTCAAATTACTAAAGCAATTCCAATTCCAATATTTTAAATGTTTGGCCACAGCTTTCTAAACTTGCCATAATCTGACCCAAGGTGGAAGGGAGTTGTCAGGGATCTAAACAGATTGGAGAAAATGGAGAAATTCTGGATGTTCCAACCAAACATTAAAGAATCTAAACCTGTGAGTGGGGGAAGCATGAGTGGGGTAAATAGAGATCAAAAGGGGTTTGTGGTCAGAGCAGGTATAAGGGAGATGTGAAACAGAAGTGTGGAGGTTATTCTCAGTCCAAGCAGGGTTCACAGGAAATCTATCAATTCTTTCATGGAGCTTGCCTCTTTCCCATGTATAAAGTGGGCCTTAATGAGGCAATTTAGAAAGATTAACAGTTTTAATATTGTCAGAGAAAGTCATCATCTGGTTTAACTTAATAGGTTTCCCTCCCCATTTTTCATTCAATCTAGCCACACTGTTGAAATCTCCACCAATGAGCCAAGGCCCATTAACATAAGGTTTAATTTGATGAATCTGCTGCCAAAGCAACAATTTATCTCCTAAGGTGCTACCTGAATAGAAAAAAGTAGCAAGGGACTTGAGAAAGTCCCACTATAAAGAAACTTGTAAGAATTGAGGGTTATCATCCAAAAGCTGTAGTTGGACCTCCTTCTTATAAAAAAGCCAATTTTATTGTTAGAATTATTTAGAAACTAAAACTGAGGGAACTTCCTTAGAATTATGTTAGGATTATTGTTAGAATTATTCATAAACTAAAATTGAGGGAACTTCTTGAGAATTCATATATATATATGATACCGAACTGATCTCATATAAAAAATAATTTAAATAAATGAATACAACACTGTAAGTGATACATCTATCCCAAGCAATATACATATTACTTACTAGTGAGGTTCGATTAAATAAACTAAAGGATTTATGACATCCATTTTTGTTGGAGAAACCATTTATGTTGACTGACATGTTTCTCTATATAATATCAAAAGTTAGGTAGCGTTTATATTAAGTTGGGTTCTAAAGTTTCCTATAAGGGCAAGCCTCTGTAGTTAATTATATCTTAAATGATCATAGCCACCTAAGAAAACTCTCAATTTAGATTAGAAAAAATTGTCATCAAGAATTTAAAAGGGTAGGAATTTTCAAAAGTGAGACAAAGGAGTGTGAAAAGGGCAAAGCTCAAGTTTGGAACAATTATTATGGAATCTAATGGAAGAAAACTAGGGGATGCCACAGATCCCAAGGAGAACCTCAGAGACTTCCCAAGCTATCCTACGATTTGGTTTCAATTTTGGAGAGATATTTTTAATTTTTTTAACATGCCAATTTTACTGATTAGGGCTTATATTTGCTTGACACAATCATCAAAATAGCCTGGAAGATAGGAGGGTTTATGCCGTAACGAACGATGACCTTGGAACCTAAGATGAGTTGGGGCTTAAATTACACGATAGAGTTGTGCAGAGGCCTAAAGATGAGGTGAGGATTTATGTTGCACCAACCAAATAATCTCGAAGTTCTATGGTTTTTTATTTAATTTTTAAGGAAAGATTTTTGGTTGTTAATCCATCTGTCATACTGCCTACGGTGCTAGCTCCAAGTTTCTCATCAAAGTAGCAGTCTTAATGTCTAAGGTTCAAAAGGTTTTACTAGGTTTTCTTGTAGTTTAAGTGTCTTACTTGGTGGGAATTAAAGTTGTTTAGAGTCACACCGGTTAGGATCCCACAGTTCCCTCATTCTAGTACCATTAATTTCTTTCGAATGTACATAATCTAAATGAGTTATTAGGCTCATTTAGACTGGGAAGACCTTGTTAGCAACCATGGGTTACCTCATCCGAAGGGCTCCCTATTGCCTTACTTTTGGTTAAGGTCTAGTATCTTCCTTAGAAGCCTATGATCTGGCCATAGGACTTTCATGTTGACTATTCTTAGAAGACTAATAAAGGAACCCTCACTATTAGGAATTCTAAAACTCTTTTTTGCTCGTCTTGAAGTTCCAAATCCTGTTTCTAACCTCTAACATTTAGCTGGTGGAGCCAATATAAGAGAGCTCAAGAAGAGTCCCCATAAGACTGTTTGGCCTTAGGGTTAGCCCTGGGCGGTGTGGTCTTGGTCATTATTCTAAACACACACTAGATACCCCTCTCCTTAACTCACAACCTAAAACCCTTAACCAAACATGCTTAGCTTTATTCGTTACTCTTTTGGCAACTCATGTGGATGGTTCCCTTAGCCCTAGGCTAGGGTTTGGCTAAGACAAACACACAGAGGATCCATAGTGGGAGCTCCATTGGTCTCATGGTTCAAAAAGGGGTAATTTTATTATTAGCATCCTCAATTGATCTCATCCTACTCAAATGCCCAACTTAGCTGTTTGCCTCCAAACTTTCTCAAAATTACCAAATTACCCTTGGAACCCTAAATTTTTGAAGATGACCCAATTTACCTAATTTGGTTAAAAAATCATCTCAATTTGCCTAATACATTCCAAAATTTTCAAAATTCCCAAAATGCCCCCAAAATTGCCAAAATTACCAAAATGTCCTTGTTGGCCCAAAAATTCCTAATACCTCTGAAATCATTCCAAACACTTCAAAAACCAATCTTGAGCACTCATGAAGTCCAATTTGACAAATTTTGAACAAAACCCCAAATTTTCCCTTTAAGGCCCTATTACCCCTAATTAACGCAAATTTCCACCAAATTGATTCCAAACGTCCCCAATTTCAATTCCAAATGAAGAATCACCAAGTTCATTCCAATTAAAAACCAAATCAAAGCTCAATTGAACCCAATCTCAAGCCCAATCTTAAAATCATCCATTTGACCATATACTAAAATTCCTTCAAATTGAACCTCATAATCAGTTCATTTTCTGAAAGTTTGAATTCTAAACTCTTCATAACATTCCCTAAATAAAATTGAGCCCTTAATTGGTCTTAACAGGTACTCAAACCTCACTCAAATCCCACCTAAATCAAAATCCCCAAATTTTCCCTAAAATTCAAATGCCACCAAATTGAACTCCATAACTCCATAATTTCCACCCAATTAACACACAAAACTATTCATCACATTGTCTTGGACCAATTTGGACCATCAATTGAACAAAATCCAAACCCTAGCCCAATCCAAACTGATTTCTTGCCCAAGTGCCCCAAAATTTACCCAAATTCAAAAACCCATAAAATTGAACATCCCAGTCAATTAAAATCCACCCAATTACTTTTCTAAACTCCTCATGACAATTATCCAAGTCCATTTGACCTAAATCCTAAGCCAAACCCAACCTATACCCAAATCCAAACTAAAACCCCAATTTTGAAGCCAAACTCTCAAATTAGCCAAAACACTTGAAATTGACGAAATGATGGTTACCACAACCAACATTTGAGCCCTAGAAGCAAATTTATACCCACCTAGCCCAACCTACATGAGTCATGGACTAAGAGTCCCTTGAATTAGGGGATCTCCTCCCATATTTGGCTAAACCAAGTAGATACATTCCACCAGCCATCATACCCCAAAGCTAGTAGTAATTAAAACCTCTTCTGTCCTTTCTGAGCTAGATAGCCACCACCCTACCTCTAGCTAGCCACCTTAGTCTGCAAAAAGCTCAAATCTGAGAAGAACACTTCACCTTTAACCCAAAACTGAACCCTGCACTATGGAGCTTCCCAATTGGATGCTTGTGCTACTCAACCCTCCACCTCAGCCTTCTTGTACGAGTCAATCTGAGCATGAGGCTATAAGAAGCCCCATTTTTGGCCAACATCAAAGTATGCCAAAATTTTTTAGTAAACTTTGCCAATTCACTTCTAGAGCCTATCCAAGCTGCCTTGAGTTCATCCCAACCACTTTCCCTAATGAAATCCACGTTCTGAGCTCAATTTGAGTTCAAACTCTTAAGGGTTTTTTTTTGCTCCAATAAACTCCACCAAACTTCAAATTAAACAGCCAAAAAGCTTCCTCAGACCAAATGAGGAAGTTCCCCATCAAAACCCTTCCCTGTTGAGCACTCGAACCAACTTTTAAGCCAATACCTCATCGCCCCTTGATTGAATTCTTACATAGGCTCAACCACAGCTAAAATTACTGCTTGGAGGAGCTTCATTGAGTCATAACAAACATCTACAACCATCCTAATCGAGGCCTCACCTCATGAGCTAAGGTATAGATCACCAACCCTTAAAGTTGTGCTTGATTTCATTAATTGTGAAGAGAATGTTAATTTCAAATATATCTAGCTATATGGATGTGTTTGTCTAGATTGGATGAACCTATAGAAACAAATTGTGAGTGATTTGGTTGAGTATCGAGTGAGATTGAAACAATTTAGTATGGACGGTTCTCGATTAAGAACAGATGGGGATGATAAATGGATGACATCAATTTACGCGTGTATCTATCCAACAACAAAGGAGGAGTCAGACGAACAGATGGTTCATAAAACGTGGCCCGTGTGGCAACTGACGTGGATGACGGCGTTGAATGAGAGTGCATCGCATGGTCTTTCAAAGCCGCCTAGGATCCACTCAGCGCCGCTTGGATAAGTAGAAAATTAAGGGTAATTTTGATTTACTTAAATTGAAAAACTTCAAAAATGCTTAATTTAGTGTAGAAAAATCATAAAATAAAATAAAATAACCCACTTGCTCAATGAATAAAGGAAAATAATGTAAAATAAAAATAGGAATTATTCGACATGTGTTTGATTTTTAATTAATTAAATAGTCTCTGGGCTATTTTAATTTTAGTTAAGTATTAATCACCATGGTCTAAAACTTTAGCGGTTGATTCCTTAAGATAATGATCTCTTGATTTTTCCAAGGTTGAAAGACACTTCTAACTCAGAAACCCTAATTTTCATGTCTATTGGACCATTTCTTATTTAATTAAATATATAAATTAAATGCTTAATTAGAAAAATATGAGGATAGTTTTGGTAGGTTCCCTGTGGTCAACGAATCTAAGAAATATATAAACTGTGTTTA